TGTAATTACTGTTAATCCGTTCCGGCGTCCGCGGACCACGCATCAGGGGCGGAAAAACGGCTGCTGACCACGCGACAGGGCAGAAAAAATGGCCGTGGACCACGTGTCAGGGGCGGAAAAACGGCTGCAGACCATGTGGAACGGGCGTAAAAATGGCCGTGGACCACGTGGAACGGGCGGAAAATGGCTGCAGACCACGTGGAACAGGCATAAAAATGGCCGCGGACCATGTGGAACAGGCGGAAAATGGTCGCGGACCACATGGAACGGGCGGAAAAATGGCCGCGGACCACATGGAACGGGCGGAAAATGGCCATGGACCATGTGGAACGGGCGGAAAAATGGCCGCAGATGATGTGGAATGGCGGAAAAATGGCCGTGGACCACGTGGCACGGGCGGAAAATGGCTGCGGACCACGTGGCACGGCGGAAAAATGGCCGCGGACCACGTGGCACGGGCGGAAAATGGCTCATAAGTCGAGGTGAGTTTGTAAGTAGAGGTAAATTTTTGGGGCCGGAGCTGATCGTATCTTGAAAATTTCGTAAGTAGGGGCATTCGTAAGTAGAGGTACCACTGTAAAATGCAAAACACATCTTCGATTTGCTGACAAGACAGCAAAGAAAGAACATACATTTTTTGGATGAATTTTTCTTTTTAGCCAGGGAATACCGTAATCCCTGTTCGGTAATTGTAATAAAACTGAATATAATTGTGCCATAATAAAACAACTAATGCCAGTTTTATATGAAAATTAAACTAGTAAGTGAAACCTGTTAATTTTGACCATCCTTTGCTAATATTTGTAGTTATTGGTTGTGCAATTCTTTTGAGTTCTTGAACAGCTGATCTGGCAGTTGGTTTAAAATTACCATTTTTTTACCTCTTTGAATCAATTTTTAAGATTTTTTTTAAAAAAAAGGAGTTTTAAAAAATAAAAAGCACCTTTAAAAACCAGCATGTTAAATATACAGTGGCCCATATTCAAATTTTGGACATAGTGTCTCTAGCAACTTCTTACTCACACTATGCAAAAAAATCAGAGGAATGAACACAATGAATTAAACCAAGTTATCAAGGCCTGATAATTGAACATTATAGACATTCTTTCCATTAGTGAATTCTGCACACAGAAAGTGCCTCCATCTTGTTTTCAGAAAATTCTGTTTCTCCCACGTCACTCTCTATTCCATTCAACAGTGCATTTTATTCCACTGTGTCGTATTTCCAGGGGAATGGAGGGCCATCATGGAGAGATGGAACAAGGAAGACTGCTTCACCACTCAGTTCCACACCTAAAACTGAATCCAGCCCATTATTCTGAATAATTTCTACTGTGGTTATGCAAAACTGCTGGCAACCTTTAGCCTAAAATGAGTGATGTTTTACATAGATCCTCTTGCCAGTACCTCATACAAATACAGAATTTATTCTTATTGCTTTGTATTGTGTCCAGAAATACTGATGACCAATACAAAATGATCAGACTAAAATGTGCCTTCTGGGGGTTTCTACCCCACTCTAATCAGTGCAAATGGGGTGGAGAGGGAGGGAGAGAGGTATGGTAGAAAAATATAGTAGTAACAAACTCTTATAGTAACCCCAAGTTATTTGCTGCAATAATTACATATAATGCTACGTATTTTTAAAAACACTTACTGCTTGTTTTTCTATCCTAATAATAGATGAGGTGTTTCAGGTTTTCAAACTGTACAATCCATTACACAAATACAGGATTATTTTGAAGGGTAATCAGTATTCAAATGGCCATAAAAGGTTCATAAACTTTGTTTATTTGCAGTATGTCCAATGATTTCTGCAAATTGTATAATACATGTTTGAACACATGTCAACATATTGCACCACTCCTATAGAAATAAAATAAATATCAATAATGTAATATCAGTTTCCTCATAACATTTATTCCAGGATTTTTGTGGTACATTATCATATACCCTAAAAATCCATGCAGTCTTTGAGCTGAGAGAGAGAGACTGGCCCAAAGTCACCCAGCTGGCTTTCATGCCTAAGGCAGCACTAGAACTCACAGTCTCCTGGTTCCTAGTCTGGTGCCTTAACCACTAGACCAAACTGGCTTTCTATGTGTTTCTATATCTGGGGAGAAATTCAGTCTTCAGTACAGTTGAATAGAAAACTGACTGGGATTTCAGGTGGTGGGGTTGGGGAGTGGTTTTGCTGCATGGCTGACTGACAAGTCCTGCGGCTAAAGGGAGCTTTTCTTTGGTCATAAAGACAGGACTTCTAAGAACAGAGCCAGAAGAACGAATTTCCAAACCTTCAGCTATTCTATTGCTGACTCTTACCACTCAAAACTGTATAACAACATTACTATATCAATGTAAATTATGGATATGATCGTTATGGACTATAGGCAGCTGTCATTTCATGGGTCTGGGAAGGGTATTACCCATCTGTCCATCTGGCTAAGCTAGTGAGACATTTGCCTTCCTCATTTTTAATGTTGAAATAATGATTATTTTGTTTATTTTGTTACTTTCACAAGGCTTTGCCACATCTTTTGTAGTTCAGTGGCATTGAGGCATTCATTTAAAGGGGAAGGAGTGTTTCCAATAGGGGTCTCTATAAGAGATATTGGAGAAAACACCCAGCTCCAAGTTGGCCAACTTGATCTAAACTTTAAGCTTTTGCCAACAGCTAATGATGAGAGGGCCCTCTAGCCATCAGTTCTTCAGTTTGATCTATTGTGTGGCTAGTGTGGTATTTCAGGGAGTAGGGGTGCTATTTGATTAACTTCCTATAATGTACCCCAAACTACTGTAACCAGTAGGAAATGAAAGATTGTAGCCGTGATTAAACTGAGAATCTTTTTCTAGGTCAGTGCTCCTTTGGAACTGCCTCTGATCCATCTGGGGGGCTGAAGGCATAATATTTGCTTTCATTGCTTGCTTGTAAGTTTCTTGGTACATGTAGCTGGCTGCTAGGAGAATCAAGAATTAGGTGCATCTTTGGTTTGATGTTATATTGCATAGCTTGTAGACTTTTTTTTTCAAACTACAAAGGTTCTGCATTAAATCTCAGAAGTAGAGGGTTTTTCCCCCCCCCCCCCCCAATTCATCTTCCTTCAGGTTAGCATTGTTGAGAAAGTAAGTATATGAATGCTGGAGATTATTTGTTAAATACAAATGGGTACATTTTTAAAATAGTATATTCTATTCATATATTTTTATTAACCTTTCCTTTTTTGCCTTTTTGTTTAAAAATGAAACTAAAGCTGATCATTAAGCAAAATTTGTGGTGCTACATGTTTGTTATAATTTTTATTGAAATACCAATTTTCTTTTTAAAAAATCACACCATTCACATCATTTTACAATATTATGCAGTTTGTATTAGACATACTTTAGTTTTTATTTCTAGCAGTTTTCATTTCAATTTCTGTCCCAATTTTCATTTTACGTTGTCAATAGCTTTTTAGAAAACTGAAAATAAACAACATTCAAAGCATCAAATGTTTCCAGTTGGTTATAGAATCTTGTTTCACTTTTCAGAGAAGACCTTGTGTTTATCAGAAATTAAAAACAGTATTTATAGTATGTTCTCTCATAGTTTAAAATATATTTTTACAAGGTAACCCAATGCAAACCTGCTTGCCACTATTTTTACTTCTCATACAATTTGGCTTTCCAGATCTAGTTTCCAGCCAGATATCAAACTATACTTTTTGTTTATGCATTTTCAAGATCACAGAACGTAAACGATTTGACTGAATAACGGTATTTTTGTCTATTTTTCAAAAGGAAAAAAGGATACATTTGAAAATAATATTTATGTTCATGTTTAAGTAAACATAGATACCATAAATGTTTGATAAATGAGCTCCTAATAGAAGAGTACATAAGGAATCATTTAAGTAAGCAGCT